ATAAGCTTTTTGTATACAGTGGCAAGTTGTGATATCAAATCCTACTGCTCCAGAGCACTGGCATGAAAAATTAAATTAAGGTTCAGATGAGATATGATTGGAATTCATCTGAAAAAAAAATCATTCTGATGAGGCAAAGAAAATTATGTTTTTTGTGTATAACTTCTTTAAAGATTTACTTCAGAGGTGAGCAACTGAAACGTTATCAGAACAGTTTTATGCTGTGTCTACTATGATATTTGGGGATCACATAGTTCAAGAAATACTTTGGAAATTTGGATATTTAATTTGATCAGAGGATTGAAGATGTGTGTTAAGATGGAATGCATTCTGAGCAGAATGAGGGAAGATCAGAAAACTGGGAAGAAGAAGGGAGAAATGGATCACATACTTCAGCATACATAATGAATGTTAATAGTTAGGCTGCATTCACTGCACTCTAGAATTTATTAAAAAAAAACAAAAAAACCTGTATTTTTAGCTTAAGTGCAGTGTCAGTTCTGAAAAAATGAGCACATAAGCTTAGTACTGTTGCTTAGTTTTACGTGGGAACCGTATTTCCATATTTCTTCTGAAAGTTTGTAGAATTAAACATTGTACAATGTCACTGGTCTTTTCACAATCATGGTGTGTTTATGACATGGAGTAACCATGTCACAATCTCAAATAAAATACAGACCTTTCTCCAGCTTTGATTTAATGACATAAATGAATGTTTTCAGTCTCCAAGTGTGAATATCTTTGCATGATTTAGAACTTGAAAATATAATTATTTACTGCTTCAAACTTCATCTTGCTCTTTCTTAAAATTCCAGTTGTTCCTTTGACTATTCCTTGCAATTTTTTTTTCCTGAAGAAATTTCATTGCAGCTTTCGTCCCATTAAATTGTGAATGCGCTAAACAGTATCAAGTACTTCAGGAACTTCACTAGTGGCTTCTCCTGGTATTAATGTTCAAAGGAGTGTATAATCACTTCTTTAACTAAATCACTTTAAGGAAATTGTACTAATAAACATCTTCTATGTTTCAATGATTTCCTGCATAGCACTAGGAATGTGAAGTTTCATTGAATTCTAGGTAGAGAATTTTAATGAAATAGAACCTCTTTCTTATAAAATATTTTCACAAAAAAAAAAAAAAAAAAAAAAAAAAAAGTGAACTGCTGTCACATTCACAGAATCGCAGAATAGCCTGGGTTGGAAATGACTTCAAGGAGCATGAATCTCCAACTCTCCCTCCCCCACAAGCAGGGCCACCAACCTCCACATTTAATACTAGACCAGGCTGCCTGAGGCCCCATTCTACCTTCTTACCTATTCTTACTTCCCTTGTTACATTTCACTTTTTCTGGAACAGATATTTTTTCTGCTTCAACACTTACTTCGGAAACTCTCTGAGCTACTGAAATCAGGCTCTCCTTTTCCTGTTTTTTCCTTGTTTTCTTACCTTGATGGCGCTATTTCAGTGTGATCTCATATTTAAGTAGATGTATTTAAAAGCTACTTACTATTGGTGAACATTTTTATGCGCTGATGTGCCCAGACTTCTAATTTTGAAATTATCTGGTCAGTATCTCCTGTTTAATGTTTTGCTTGCACATTGGTCTTATAATTATTAACACGTAGTTTCCACTAGCCCTTCCGCCTCTTCCTCCATGCTCATCATAATCTGCTGTGCAGAATGTTGTATTTTATTGTGCAACTTGCATGTATTATACTTCAATCTGTGCTGCTTATTCACTGTGTAATGTGTTTCTTTTTGCATTTTTTATGGCTGATTTTTTTATTGTTGTTTTAATTGAGAAGTCTAACTTGGTCTCCATGTGTTTCTTGCTCTTTTTGTACGTTTTGTGCTCTTATTTGGTAAGTCATTTTCAGTGTTTCTTAACACGAACTTTCTTATCTAAGTACTTCCTTACAGTGCCATTGGTGATTGTATACTTTTCTGGGACAGTCATTCCAGCCAGCAATTCTGCTTTGTTGTCTTAAAAAATTTTCGTCTATGTTCTGAAGTTCTCAGTCCACAAAGTACTTTCTTTTTTTAATATCCATATCCTTTTGAAGCAGTGGATTTTTATTGCTGTATGTCATGCTTCTGTTGAATTTAATAGAATGAGGTTGTAATAATTCAAACAGTACCTATTCTATATAATGCTTTTTAATTTTTAAGTTGCTTTTGGTATATAATGAAAAATGTTACGAATAAGAGCAGTATAAAAGTTTCATGTACTAATTTTTGAAATTTATTCTTGAAAACTTTCTAATACATCAACAGTTATTCAAAGGATAGTTCTTAATCACTTTTATTGGATATTGAATGTTTTGGGTACTGTGAAAGCTAGTTTGAAAACAAAGTGTCACTTTTCAGGTTATACCTCTAAGTAATTTTTGTGAAAAATGTGTAATTAATTTTCTGAAAATCCATAGATAGTCTGTAATTGTTTATAGTTGTAAATAATTGTTTATAAAGCATTTGTGCAACAACAGGCAGTAGATTACATTCTGAATGGAAAGACTAAAATAGTCATGCTCCTTTCAGAAGAACACATTTCACAGGGGACTCTTTCTAAATAACTTGTGAAGGTCACAAGACTGAGAAGACATGAATGACTACCATTAGTACCTCGTTCAGTGAATAAACTGAAATATCTTCTGCTGTGTGAAGTACTCTCTTGCTCCTGAGCTTTAATTCAAATCCTCTCCTTCCTTCAGTTTTCAACATATTCAAATCAAACTGATACGATCAAAGTGCACATATCAACAGTGTGTTTCTTTCATGTGCAACTTTTCTCCTTAATTCCTGGCCTTTCTCCTTACATCTGAATTGTACTGGGGGGGGGGGGGGGGGGAAGGAAACAACCTGTAGTGTGCAAGGAGAGCACAGGTGAACACTGTTCTAAACCTGGCAGATCAAACTCACAGGCTACATGTGTGACTGGACAGCTTGTAATACAGTCCCACAAGATCTTTTAACTACTGGGGGTTGGATCAAGTAATCTCCAGAGGTCCCTTCCAACCTCTATGACACTACTGTGATTCCGTTAGCATTATGTGATTTTTAATTATATTTTTCATGAATTGCATTTTTCATGCATGTTGCTCAGGCATGGGCTGCATAGGTTAAAATGGAATGCTGTGGAGGGAACTCCACATCTCCATATCCATATCTCCACAGGGATAACTCCATCTCTTGTGCCCACAATACAAACTTGATCACATTGAAACCTGCATGTATTACCACATTCATGTGCTTGTGCAACCTGGCAAGTAAAACACAGTGATTGCTAATAGGAATATTTCAAACTACCTTTGTGTGTCTGGGAAGATGCTTATTTTTGATTATTAAGCAGACATGCAAGTTTTCTTATTTAAGTAACACATTTGGGCAAATATAAAATTGCCCAAAAATAACCATTCAGTAAGACTTCTGAAGGCAGACTAATTGAGTATCATCTTCTGATAATGAATGAAGTACAACATGGGGATTTTTAAATGAAATGCTTGGAAGAGTAGAAGTGACCAAAACATCTGCAGTGTTCATACCTTAGTACAGAAAAATATGACTGCAGCAGTTGCAATCTTCAGTCAGTGTGTTAAAACACATTTCTGTACTTCATGTATAACACAAGGAAGTGAATAATCATTTTTCCTTGTTTCTTGTTTCACAAGGGGAAGGAGAATCACAAAATAGTCTAGTTCAGCTCCACTGTTCAAGCAGAGTCCATCTCCAAGGATAGACACTCAATAGCCTCTCTGGGCAATCTTCTTCTTCAGTGTTTGGCTACCCTCACAGTAAAAATGTGTTTTCTTCTGTTTGGGGAGTACTTGGTTGTTTTATGATTTTGTTTGTTCTTGTTTTTAATTTATCTACATCCTCTTGTCCAGTCATTGAATAACACTGAGGAGACCCTTTTCATACTTTCATAGAGTCATAGAATATCGTTGGTTGGAAAGGATCTGAAAGATCATCTAGTTTCAGCCCTGGGCCTTGGATGGAGTTACCACCTACCTACTGGATCACACTACCCAGAGCCCCATGCAGCCTGGCTTTTGATACCTCCAGGTACGGGGCATCCAAAGCCTCTCTGGGCAGCATGTATTTGTGTCTCACCACCCTCTTAGTAAAGAATTTCCACCTAACATCTAATCTAAATCTCCCCAGTTTCAGTTTAAGGAAATTTTCTCTTATCACTACCAGGTCATGTAAAAAGTCAGTCTCCTTCCTGCTTATTAGCTGCCATCAAGTACTGGAAAATTTCAGTGAGGTCTCCCTGGTGTCTTCTACTCTGACAGCTGCAGCTTTTCAGATGTAATGGAGAGCAGTTTGGCAATTGCATCAGCCAGTTCCTTCAGGATGCTGGAATGCGTGTCCTCCAGCCCCACAGACTTCTACCCATTCAACTTCATAAGGTGGTCTTGGACTTTCTCCCTAAGTATTCAAATGCAAAGATTAGATCCCCCTATCATGGATGGAGACTAAAGCACTGCCCATTTCACTTGTGGAAGAGGAAGGCAGACATAATTATTTATATAAATAGACATAAGATTGTAATTTGAACAATGATTACAATGACTTAACAAGATCCAAAATGGCTACATAGCCTTGACTGTTCACTATACAGAGAGGAGGGGGAGCATAATGAATCTAAAGGAAAATCTTAGCAAATTTGTTATAGCTTAAAAAAAAACAATCTACCACTTACTTACCAAGGATCTGTTGGCAAGGCATCACCATATCCTGGGTGAATCTCTACACATATGTTAACTAACATTAAGAGGTACCCCTATTCAAGAGAAGATTCTGGTGTGCATCCAGATGCTTACAAGAACTCTCAAAGGGGTTCTTAGGTTACTTGCTAGTGTATGGGAACTGCTGAGTCACAGACTGAACCTCTGATTGATCACCTGAGGTAAGCAATGAGTCAGCCAGAGGAGCACAGGTGAAGGCGCCTAGACTTATTTAAGATCTGGCTACCAGTAGGGAAGGATCTCTCTTCTGGAGATTGCTTCTGCTGGTGTTTTGTGAGTGAGCCCAGGATAGGGGTAAGCCTTCTATTTATTCTCTTTTTGTTATCATAGTCTGCTTTGTGAAACTCTCTTGTTTATTTCATAATTATAACATCTTAATATTCATTCATTATACACTATTTATGAGAACTTAGAATTGATTCTGTTGAACCAGGTATCTGATCACCAGTGATGAAACCTTGATTGTTGTTAGTCTGAAGGATGAGGTCTTTTGTATCTCGCTGTATGCACTAGGCCTTGGACATAACAACTAGGCTGAGAGGTGGGGGCATATTTTACAGATCTTCTCTGTTAGGTTGATAGCCACAGTTCTTTCCAGATAGCACCGTGGGCATGCACAACGCCAAATGCAAATTTTGACTCTGTCCAATGCTGACTATTTTCCTTTTTGCTAAACCCAAAGCTCTTAACAAGGCTGTAAGTTCTGCTTTCTGTAGTAAGGTGGCAGGTGCCAGAGTTCCACCTTCTATTATTTTATCTCTGGTTGCTACAGCATACCTGGCCTTCTTAACGCCATCTTGCGTAAAACTGCTACCATTCATATGCATTTCCATATCTAGATATCAGAGGGGAAAGCCTTTTAAATCAACTCCACTGGAATATACTTGTTCAATTGTTTGAAGACAGTTGCTTTCAATTTCTCTTTCTGCTGTTGAGACATTTAAAAACAGAGCCAGATTCAGTATGTTAGGATGTTAGGAATTAAAAGTAACTTTTGTTTCACTAGGACAGCTTGATACTTCATGATTCTGCTTGGAGGTAACCAATAACTTTCCTGCAGTAACCATATGAGGGACATACACAGATATTTTATTTCCCAAAGTCAATTTCCTGGCTTCCTGTACAAGCAAGCTTGTAGCATCTACAAATTTTAAACAGGGGCTTTCCAGCTTCAAGAACTTCTGCATTACAGTTTTCTTTCAAAGAAAATGTGCATTTTTTTTTTTTTTTTTTTGTCTGACTGATTTTACTCTCAGCTTCTGCTGGATAGTTACTGTTAATTGCTTTGATTGTCCAGGTGTCTCTCTGATACCTTGATCCACAATGTCATGGCATATTTTACTTCCCTTGCAGCTGTCTGGTCACAAGGGAACAGCTTCTATAACATAAGAATTTGAGCCCCCGCAGTTTTATTTTCTGTAATATGCTCTTAGATTTCTATTTCACCAAATTTGACTAGGGTCTGCAGTTTGTTTAAGATATCTCTCTCCATTAATGGCATCGGGCAATCAGGCATATATAGAAATTGATGTATATGCATTCTTTTCCCAAATTAAAACTGTAATGGTTGGAAGAATGGCTGCACTTTAGCTTTTGCTTGGCTCCAACTACTGATTATGTTTGGTTGCTTGTCCCTTGCATGTATTTATAACTGAATATGATTCATGTTTATCTATAAGAAATTTTACATATTCATTCCCCACTCCCCATCAATTCTCACTCAGAGTTATCAAGTTAAACTCCCAGGTGAGAGCAGACTCAGGACCCTGGGAGTCCTGCCCTCCCAGTACCTGCTCTGAGCATTCCCTATTCTAGCATCCATATTTCAAATGCTTTGCGTATTGAAGATCTGGTTTCTTGACCCCAGGTCCAGGGCATCTCCTTTTTTCTTTTACCTTTTCATCCTCCTGTCCATTTCCTTCTCTACCTCCCTTGGTCTGTGCCTTACCCAAACCTTTTTCACATTCCAACCTTTTATTATTACAAACTGGCTCAGCTCTCTTAGATCAGCCAGGCACCTGATCTTCCATTTCAGTTTGCTTTATCTTACCCTTACCCTGCTCTTCCCCCCGCCAAGGCTTTGCTGGGGGGGATTTATACCTTAAATCTGTAGTTTTCACAGCTGCTTTTCACTTCCAACAATTCGCTTTTTCCCCCCCCCCCCCCCAATTTTGTTGGTCCCATACTGTGTTCTAATGGACAGAGTGATCCACTCGTATCAGTTCCAGTGCAACAATTGAGGATATGGCATATAGTGAAGCATTGTGTATTGTTAAGACAAAAGCTGTAGCTTTATTATCAGAAATGTTATAAGTAAAATATAAGCAACTATAACTAAAATTAACCACCAGGATTGGAATTCTATTTCAAATTTATTTGCATTATTCCAAGTTACCTTTTGAATCTCAGTGGTTAAGGTGTCTCCTTTGCCTTCTCTTGTAATTGCTGCTACTGTAGATTAAATTCATATTTGAGTTTCGATATGTCTAAAAGCTGGAGAAGCATTGTCTTGAGCTATAGCAAGTGTATCTACAATCAATTGGTTATCCTTTGTAGTAATTTTTTCCTACTTTGGTAGTATACTGGATAAGAGCCATTGATTAGCTCCCAGTCCTGATAGGAAAGACTGCACTGAATGTTGTAATATATGTAAGTCACTTGTCCAGTTTTTGAGAGTGTTTTTTTTTTACTCTTGACATCAGTGGGGTTACTGAGAAAAGTCAATATGGGCAAAGCAGTTGTTATTCTGTGTCTATGCTAATTTGAATTTAAATGACAGTCCTACATCATGGTGAATCCAGACTACAAAAACAAAATGATATAAAAAGTCCAATCTTTCAGTGGCACAATTTTTCTTTCTGTTTCTTTTTTATTTGACCTCAGTCACATAGATTTGATTTGTCTTCTCATGGGTGGACTCACTGACCATTTGACTTCCTACCTTTGTTTCTTGTCCTTCAATTTCCAGGAGTTGGGGGAGCTGATTGGTACTATCCCAGCTCCATTTGTTTTCTAAGTAGATTTCAGTTTTGTGAATGAGAGGGTCAAGTCTTTGCTCTGTGCAGTAAAATGCTTCCTTGCCTGTGTGACCTGAAGGCTGATGTAACCATTCTTCAAACTGAGTGTATACCACTCAGGACATAAGGTGATTTTTCTGATTTTGGTTAATCCTTCCTTTCATTCAATCTTGTGGCAGGATGATTATTTTTTAGATGGGCTTTTACCCATCCCATCTTAAGAAGGTATTTTCATGACTGCGTCTAGTAGTAATTGTCAATCTTTTTTTTTTTTTTTTTTTTTTTTCTCCAAACGGGGATCTATTTTCTTCCCAATTCAGGATTTCTCATTGGCAGAACCACTGTGTGGTACAAGCCCGCACAGCGTAAGAATCTACATGTATGACACTTGCTCCATTTTGTGTTGCTGGGACAACTGTTCTTATTTCTTTTATTTATGCACTGTTTTCACCTTCTTTTATAACTTGTTTGTTAGTGGTAAAATCCAATGCAACAGCTTTATATTGCCATTTACCACTCGCTCTTTTGAACGAGATGTAAACAAAATGTTTTCTGTTGGTGTACCTACAAAAGGGAATGGTGTATTCAGAATTGGTAAAGCTTAAACGGTAGTTGTAATTCCAAAGGATCTCTGTTTATAGGCATCTCAGATTTGGAAACTTTAGTATGTCTTTCCACCAATTTAATATTTTCTGCAACTCCTGTTAGGTAAACATGCTGTTTCTAGGTGTGTTTTTGCAAAATTCCTTTTGGGGAAGCTGTCCCCTAGAGGACTTCCAGTAAGTTATATGGCCATCTGCTTTGTACAGGCTATCCTGATGTATTCTCTCAACTTGATTAACTGTTCAGGCTAGAGATAAACATCCCTTTTCCTCATTCAGAATATCTTTGGTCTATTTCTTTAAGTGTGGGTGAACTAAGCAGTAAGTCCTTCTTGGCCCATCAAGGCCGATTTGAAATAGGTTACAGCAACTAGTACTTCCAGCAAAAACCCATTCAGCTATAGTGGGGTCAAAGCCCTAGTTTTTAACTCTTCAGTTAGAGTTTTGACTGTCTCCCTGTGCTCTGATTTCCACTCCCATGGCTTGCCTTTCCGTGGGAATGAGTACAATGGATGAGAAACGATAGGAAACCCAGGTACATTCTTTCTCTACTATCTCAAGGTTCTCATTAACTGTTGTAACTCCTTCCTTGATTTAGGAATTTGTCGCTCTTCAGTTATTCTTCAAAGGTCCGGAGGGATAACTGCACTGTCTGATACCCACAAAATACCCCCAAATTTTACTTCTCCACTTAGTCCCTGACAGTTTCCAGATGGAATCTTAATTTCTCCTTCATTTAGTGGTTGCTGTAGTGCTGCTGCCACTTGCCCAACCTTCTCAGAGGCAGTCGCTCTGATGCAAATATCATATATATTGATATGGTTTCACATCCTGAGAAAGTGAAATTGTCTCTAAAGGTTCAGGAAGTGCAGTGTGAGCTATTGTGGAAGTATGTTTATATCCCTGTTTGGAGTCTGTTAAAGGTAAACATTGTATCCCTTCCCAAGTGAAAGAAAACTTTTCTGTACCCTCTTCTTGCAAGGGAACCATAAATAGTGTATCTTTTACATCAAAGGCTGCTATCTATGGGTGTGCGTCTGCTTACAAAGTAGCTTTTAAGCCAATGTTTGGGACAGCAACTGCCAGCAGTGATGTATTGGCATTCAGGCACTGATAATCGATTGTTAATCACCACCTCCCGTCTGGTTTCTGAGCTTGCCAGAGAGGTGAGTTATATGGGGAGTGGGTTTTGAATATAATTTTTTTTTTTTTTCCTCCAAATCTGCTATGAATTAAGGAATCCCATGTCGTGCTGCGGTAGAAATGGGGTACTGCAGTACACTGGGGATCTTTGAATTCAGAGAGTGCAGGGGTTGAGTGAAGTACACACACTGTGACCTCCCTATTTCTGTGGCGTCTGGGATTGATATTTGAGCCAAAAGACTACATGCTGCCGTTCAGCAGGCACCAAATCCTAAAATATTTTCATGATGCTCTGTAATTGCAAAGCGAGTAGATGACAGACATTTCTCACTGGGGAGCCACAAGTTGGTTTGTCAAACAGAACTCGCTCTATTCACACTGGTTAATCTTAACTCTTTGCTGTCCGGGCCTCACTCATCTTCTCAGTATCTTGCTGATAGTCCTGAAAAGTGAGTTCCTGTATCTATTAGAAATTTCATCGATTGCCTTTGAGGACTGACTGGAATCAGAATATATGGACCATCATAGCTTA